GGACATACTCAGAGATCTAATACAACCACCGTTGAAAGCGGGCATTAAGATTGCAAAGTCAAGCACTCAAAAGTTCAGAAATGCCAGAATTAAGTTTGCCCATGCAACCTGCTGCAGTAGCCACCTGCTGCCTGCTTTCAACAACCTGCACCCCTTTGTCACAATTCACTCCCCTTCATTGCCATCAGTCTGGCTCCTGCCCTCTCTACATTCAAATCAGGCTGTTTCCTCCTCCATGCTACCTGGGCACCAGCTCTACGAGCACCGAGAGCACATGAGAGAACCTCCCTGCTCTCAGTTCAGTGCATGCTGCCAAAACACCCCCCAGCTGCCACGAGCAGCAACTGTAGGGAAAGTCCTGCTCAGCCTCTGCACCCCCAGGCTGGAGAATGTCCAGTGCAGGTGGAATTGCTGGAGAATTTAGCTGGCTTACTAACAAGTCTATGATGAGCATGTGCAAACTCAAATTTTTCAAATGCTTATAACTCACCAGATTTGGGTGAGTTTTCGTGGGGCTGGCAAAAGGCACATCCCTGACACCAGGGCAATCCAACTGCCAAATTTCAAGCATGCTACAGCTTCTCCACAAAACTGTTGTGAGACTTTTTTTTTTTTAAGCATGGGCAAAATAATGTATTTTTCCCTAATTCTTGGAAATGACTGAACAGAATTTGCTGAAACAAACTCAGCCAGAGGCAGACTCCCAGCAGAGGAAATTCCAGCCTGAACAGTTACAGTTTGCAAAGTTAAAAGCAACAGAAAGCAGGGTCTTAAATGAGACGTTTTGGACAAACTTAACTACAAGTGGTGCTACCAGCTTCCCCTCTAATACAAATTGCAAATCAGAAGATAAAACTTCTGTATCAGTTTAAATAACTGCGCCAGGACACCCATCAATAGACGCTGTAGTGTAGCCAAGGTCTAACTTTGGGCTGTTCTGGGTTTAACCCATTAGAGCAACATGGTTAGGTTCTGTCTACATTAACTTAACAAGGCCCCCTGACCTCAGTGCTATATACAGGGGGCCTTCGAGGGAGCTCTGTGACAGAATAGGGAGTATTAATATTTAATGTTGCATGAGAGTTTTACTAATTTACTGTCTTCTGCTAACACGAGGCGTGCCTCCGTTTCCCTGGGGTACTGCACCAATACTAGATGGTGATGGGAAATAAGGGTGTGACTTCACGGAGGGATGATATTTGATGGCCAGCACGTAAACGATGGTGGCTGCCCTTCGGAACCTAAGCCCAGGAGGGGGTTGGGGCCAGGTGACACCTTCTGTCCGGGAACCTGGACAAAGGCTGGAGGAGGGGCTGGGGGTGTGTCTGGGGGGAGCAGCAGGAAGGGATTTCAGTTTGGAGCTGGCTGGGGATATGGGGGGAGGCCCAGAACCTGGGTTTGGGCTCCTCACCCCCCAAGAGGGACCTGACAGAGAGGTCCTGTTTTCTGTACCCACAAGCTCTGCTTTAGACTCTGTTCCTGTCATCTAATAAACCTTCTGCTTTACTGGCTGGCTGAGAGTCATGGTGAATTGCAGGAAGTGAGGGGTGCAGGGCTCTGACTCCCCCACACTCCGTAATAAGCTCTAACACTGATCTTTTGCAAAGTAGTTTAAGACCAGGATTGAAAAGTTTACCAGACAATTCAATTATTTCCCTGCCATTGCAGGGGCCTTTGACACTGGTCCCTGCCTCTGGCACAATCTCCTGTAGTCTGTAATACCATGGTCTCGTTTCAGTTATTGGGTGTAGCGTGCGAGGGCTGGGTGCAGTGTTGGTGGTCTGTGATATACAGGAGGTCAGACTAGATGATCTGGTGGTCCCTTCTGGCCTTACACGCTATGACGATGACTTACTAGTCAGAAACCAATAGAACAGCTCCCACTAGTGAGCTCTGGGGAGCAATCAACACCCTGGTGAGAGGCCTAGATTCCAATCTGGTGCTGAGAGTAATCTCTGGGCCCTGCCTGGCAGCTATAGCTAAACCTCTGAATAGGTGGCCCTTTCTGGCTCCTGGAACGGCAACTGCTATTCCACTTCCCAGCTTCCATTTGATGGATCTTGTCCTGAAAATAGCTCTGTGTGGGCCTCTCTGCTCATCCTCAGCACTTTCCCTAGCAGCAGCACAATGAAACTGATGATTCTGCAGTGTCACTACTGACCACAGCAGTTGTGAAACTGAGCAGTTTTGTTAATTTCCTTCTGCTGCTGATTAATAATTCTGAGCAGGGCATGAAATATAATAGATAAGGTGAATAACAGGGCAAATGGCAGTATGATTATCCTTACTTTTTAAATTGCTGCCCAACTGGGCAGCGGCTCTGAACAGACTCAAGGGTAGTGCTGCATAAGGGCACTTTTGAAAAGCTCTTGGCAACCCTTAAGGGCTAGAAACTTTTTCAAATGAAAGTTTGCAGGGTCACCATCTCGAACAAATCAGAGCCCTGAAAATGCTTTCGATCTGCTGCTGTTGTAAGTTACACTTGCTAACTTTTGTCCTTGTGTTTATATGCCGCATTTGACAGCACTGTTTACTCATGTTCATTGCTTCCCCTGCTGCATGGGAAAATTAGTCTCCTCTGTTCTAAGGGTCTTTCACACAGATGCAAATGAGTTTTTTTTTTTAAATATAAAAACAAGTGACTGCAAAGCCACAAAAGTTGGTAGAGGTACTCTGAACAGGTGTGGTGACTGAAACTACCTTGAACTGTTTTTAAAAAACAGACTAGATTTCAAGTTGTCCGTGCCCCTTTCAGTTCTACAGACATTGATAGCTTTCAAAGGATAGTCAAGTTTCCTTCCAATACTGCAGGAAGTACTCAGGAGGGACTTCCTGCTAGACAGGCGGAAATGGCCTACATGTAGAAAGTCATCTAAAAGGAGAGAATTCTTCTAGTCACATCATCTGCAAGTCTGTGGCTTGCTCTGGCTTGTCCTAAAAGTTTAGTTTTACAGGGTTTCACTTTGATCAGAGACTCATTCAGGGTCTAGTACCAGCAAGTAAGTCAGAGTGGATGTTGAGAGGGCTGGAACAAAGTTTCCAGAATCACTTGTCCTTTAGCTTTGTTCCACTTGTAAAAGGGCCCCCGAACCTAGCAAAGGGTGTGTTTTGGTCGTTTCCACGATGGGAGAAGGCAAAAAGGACAGGACAGGCCTGTCCCACAAAGTTTCCAGCCCACACAAGACTTCCGGAGTAGGCTGAAGTCCCCTGGGATTTGGCACAAGATATTGAGCCATCTGCTCAGGGCCACTTCCTGTTTGCTGGTTTCCAACAATAAACCCACCCTTCCTCCCTCCCTCATCTAGATTGTTGCAGGCTATGCTAGTCACTGTGTTGGGGCTGGGAAGAATTTTTCCTCATATCACCAGGCTGGCTACAGCTGGTTGGTTTTTTTCGCCTTTCTCGCAGTGAAACCTAGGGATTGGGCAACTGGATAGCTGGAATTCTCCCCCTCCCAGAGATCACAGTTTGGACCTGAGTTGTTTAGTTGTCGCACCTTTGGCAGTGCCCAGTGCAGGAGCTTGCTGATTTAGGCTCCAGATCCTAAAAGGTAACATAGTGGGCATCTCCTTACAAAACAGTGCTGTCTGGGGTGGTGAGATCCCCCTCTCACCTCCTCCCCCCCAAAGGGGGGAGGGATGCTAGCAGGCAAGTGGAAGCACCCAGAGACCCTACTAGTGTAATTACTGACTCCTCCTGTGATGGAAACCTCAAGAATTGGCAAATAATCACAAAGGTGCAAGTGACTGTGCTGGGCTGCCCCCCTGATGGGAACCTTGGATGTAATTTAACTAATAAAGTTGGTTAAAACCTATACCACGTGTCTGGCGCCTTCCGCGCAATAAGCACACCAATGTACATTGCTAACAAACACAAGAAAGCTGCTCACAGATCAGCAAACATCCACTTTCCCTCATTCAATCAGTGTTCGTATTTCATTTAAATCATTCCCACCTTCCAGTGCCAAGCTCAAGGTGCTCAGAAATCAGGAGTAGCAGCACCAAGAGCATGAATTAGCCAAGAAGTTGTACTGCAGTCATCTACCTTTCAACTGCGTTGGGTGAAACAGCTCTGCACCCTACTGCAGATTGCAGCTTTGCCAATTAATATGCTCTCGTCAATGCAAGATCTTTTTCGACAAAGTATCTTATCACTGAACAACAGGGCGCCTTGCAGGAAAAATTTACTTGGGATTGCTAACCACTGTGAAACTGTTTTAACTGACAAAGATAGTCCAGTGAGCTTAGTTCACTGCACTGTAATTTGCTTCACAGCAGAATTTCTTTCCGCCTACATTGCTGTTCTGGAAGGCAAGCCTTTCCCATAACCTGCTTCCAACATCTACCGCGTTATTTGCTTTCAAGTAAACATGCTATTAAGACGTGCCAGATGTGGTGTGAGACGTCTGCTGGACACATGCTGAGCCAAGGCAGAAGTACGCTCACCAAATCCTTCTTTTCACCTAGTCTCCTTTAGTAGGTGAACCCTGGAAGCTCACCCTCAAATGGGAGGCACAGCAATACAGCGCCTTTCATTCTTGAACCCCAGTATATGCTAAAAAAGGATTGAGAGGCCCTGTATAAACTATGCCAGAGGCAAACAGTAGCTATTTAAATAAACCATTCTGTAACCAAGTCTGTCATGATTGATAAGCACATCTGTCAGTCCCCACCTGCTGTATGCATTCCTGGCATTTCTTTTCTGCAGCATTTTCCCTGACAGAGAAGAGACAAACTGCTTATCAACTGCTGCAGAAGAGATTTAAGGGGAAGGAGCAGGCCCAGCTTACAAAAAATTAAGCAATTCCAGGTCACAAGTGTGCCAAACAAAGTTCCTTTCCATCAGGCTGATGAAGAGCTGATGAATTGGATTTATTCCAGGGGGCCTGATAGGCTCTTGAACAGCTGCCTTTTGTGTGGCTCTCATGTCCCTGCCAAGAAGTCACAATGAGAGTTTAAATGTCATTCCCACCCCCCCTTGATCATTTTTTCCCTGCATACCTGTTTAAAAATCTCTGCAGATAGGGCAGGGAGCAGTCTCTCCACTCTCCAGCTGCTAGTCTGAAGTCAATTTCTGCACTGTTCAACCACACCCTTGAACAAAAGGAGATAAGCGTGAAAAATCACTCCACTCCCAAGGAGGGTGTGAAGGCATCTCAGCGTGAAGGGGCCAATTTGCCCAACAGCTGGGAGAGCAGAAGGGCCAGCTGCAGAGCAGCCCACTCCAGCAGCCAATGTACAAGTTCTCTCCCCATCCCACCTTCCAGAGACATGCTAGCAGCTAGATGAACCTGAGTCTGTAGCAGCTTTGGACTCTGCTGGGAGCTGCAGTTTAGATTCTTGACAAGAGAAGTCAGAAATTCACAGCATCTCAACATTTGCATCTGCTTTGTTATTCTCCATCCAGCTCTGAAGGGTGGAGACCTTAAACAGCACATTCCTGCCTAAAACATTTTGACAAATAGCCCCCAAGATTCCTGTGACTGAAAGAGAGCAGAGAAACAGCTCTCTTTTTTCAATTTGTTAACTCTGGAGATAGTCTGTGGTCATTTCCCCTTTGTGTGTGGGTCTTTCACATAGAAGTCAGGGCAAGGAAAACTATAAAACCTCAAACTGGTATTGAGTGTTCAGGGACACAGGGAGAACATTTAACTATTTTTGACTATTAAAAACAGATTAAAAGGCACCAACTTGAAATCTAGTTAAAGACAATTGCTCCCTTACACCCAGATACTTTTGATACTTGCTGTCCTGTAAGGTGAAATTAAGGCCTTGTCTATACTACCAGGGTAAGTTGACCTAAGTTATATTACTCCAGCTACGCGAATAATGTAGCTGGAGTCAAAGTAGCTTAGGTCAACTTGCTGCAGAGTACACCGCGCTGAGTCAACGGGAGACGCTCTCCCATTGACTTACCTTACTCCTCTCATTCTGGTGGAGTACTGGAGTCAACTGGAGAGTGCTCTGTGGTCGATTTAGTGGGTCTTCACTAGACCCGCTAAATTGACCCCCGGCTGCATTGACCACAGCAGTGTAGATGTGGCCTAACAAAGGCATTACCTAAAGTGGGCTAGCTGTCGTGTTTCGTAGGGTTACCATATTTCCACAAGCAAAAAAGAGGACACTGGGGGGGAGAGCCCCGCTCTAGCCCCGCCCCTGCCCCATCCCCATCCCCATCCACCACTTCCTCCCACTTCCCACCCCAATTGCCCCCCTCAGTACCCCCTACCCCCCCCGGCTCCTTGTCCCCTGACTACCCCCTCCTGAGAACCCCCCACCCTCACTGCCCCCCTACGACCCTACCTGTCCCCTGACTGCCCCGACCCTTATCCACACCCCCACCCCATATTCACACCCCCGGGACTCCCTTGCCCTATCAACTGCTCCCCGCGCCCTGACAGGACCCCCAGAACTCCCAACCCATCCAACCCCCTCTGCTCCATGCCTGCCTC